TGTCAGGCTGTCCGAAGGGAACGTTTGTTCTATGTATCTTTCCAATTTGTCACCGGCTGTCGTTCTCTCTTGAGTTTTCTACTTTTCTTTTTCTCTTCTTAATTTATTCGTGTGCACATTACTCTCTCATCGTTCTTCGTGACTAAAGAGCAGCCGTGTGAGAGTGGGAGGATCATGTTAAGTTCGTCGCAGGGGATTCTGGAGCTTTCTTGAAGCCCTGTGGAACTTGACGCGACCCTCGGCATGTTGTGGTTGATTGTAATCTGTTTCTTGGAGAAAGACGATTGGGGTATACTGTGTACATCCGATAGTTGTTTATTTTATTTCAGTGTTTAATGTGATTTTGTTAGGTTATGTGAATTCAGTTTTCAGTACAGTTTTGTTGGTTTACTTTATTTGAATTTTTAGTAAGAGTAAAAATAATTTGCACCCTTTTGATTAAGGGTAGCATAGTGTCTGATAGTTTACCTCAAGTTCCTTCTGTTAAGAAGCGGAGTATAGTTAACCGTGTTTGCATGAGAACGGAGAAGCTGTTTCCGGATGGTAAGGGCTGCGTGCAGTCTCTCGTTCCTTCTAACTGAACACGGTCTTGCTACACCTGTCGCTATAATCACATTTCATCAATACATGTACTCGTGGTTACAGTTTATGCTTCAACGAATGAGTGGACTAAAGTGTTCCACGGAGCACCAAAAGATTAGAGTAAGTGGTCCCTGTTGAACACACGGTGTTTCTTATATTATATGGCTGGCGAATTATTCCTATTTTATTTAATTTTTCTTTCACTTTCTTTCTTTCTTTCTTTCTTTATTTATTTATTTATTTATTTATTTTTTCATTTCTTTATTTCTATTGGCCCAACACAACTAACCAAATGTTAACAAACTTTTCAGCGTCTGAACGGTTACATAGGACATGTGCAATTACCGCTAATCGATCCGTCGAACGGAAGACGACCAACCGAAATAAAGAGACCTTCATTCGATCATTTTCTTCGCATCATGCGCATAAATCATTCACTTCTCGCCAAATCATATATTCTTCTTTCTTACACTGTCCACCCATCGTCGCGTTCCGTCTCCCGTTTACTCTCCTCTTTATCTTGTGTCTCACGCATCACCGCATCGCGTCTAACTTGGAACTAACCGTGAGTCTGCTCATGAAGCGACATGTTGTGATTCACACAAACCATCGACGTGTATATCACTTACTCTAATGTTCTGGTGGTAATCGAAGTCTGTATTTTCCAGTGTTTAAAAACGAACCTATGCAAAAGTCAATGTTAATCCGTTGTTTGCGAGAGTGACGAACGATTGCCTGTGTACGTTTGCGATCATACGACACCTCGGTTTATTGATCCATCGTGTCACGTTTTTGTGTTCAACGTCGGTTGCGGAACATGTAAATGGTTTTTCGCGGCAAATCCATTCGTTCGAACGATATTTTACCATTATCTTTCGACGAACAGTACATACAGATTGATGGCTTATTGCCAGATTTATGTCATCAAACCTCACACCGGAATAATAATTTTTAAATTATACATTTCATGTTACTAATATAACTCTGGTTGTTGAGTATGTTTAACAATTTCTTTTTCTTCTTCTACCTCTTTTTTTTTCTTTTTTCGTTAAGGGGATCGTCTCGTGTCCCCCAATCAGAAACTCATTCATCCCCGAAGCGCTTTTCTGTACTAAACTCTAAAAAATACAAGATTAACAAGTGTCGTGGGAGCACCCCTTAATGCACATGTTGAGTCATCTAAAATTAGGACCTAAAATATCTTCGTCGCTTCTTAGGGTGCAAACGATTTGCATGGAAGGAACATTCGAAGGAGCTAAGATTATGAGCAAGACATTTTCCTAAAAATCATATTCTCCTAGATATCAATATTATCTATATCTCCCTATGAAGACATAATAATAAACATACACGATTGCGTCCAAGGAGACATGACCGTTCTAGATATATATATATATATTCTAGATAATCTATGAGAAAAATATCTTCATCATAATTGTAGCCCCTCAGATTCCACGTATGTTCCACAAATCTTTCAGCATGATGAAAAGCAACGAAGGTATCAGGTTCTGTTCTGAGATGACTCGCCCAATACAGAAGAGTCCATTCACGCGAGTCATTCCATTCATCTAAAACAGCAAGGACAGATCAGAGAGAGCATCCTCAACGAGCCAGCATAACGTCTAATTCCATGAACCTCGAGCAGACTTTTTATCTGAAAAAGCGTCGCTACCGTTTTACCGCTTGCTCAACACGATTCCGAGAGTCGTGGGTTGCCAATGCTAGTCTTTACTTATCCGCGCAGAAGTACTTCGCCCGGCGGTGGATTGTACGGTGACGATTAAAACGGTCTGACTGATTTGCAGGTGTTCAGGGCACGCACGCCCCAGGAAGCGATGGAGCTGGTTGCTCGGCTGCTGGAGTACACGCCCTCGTTACGGATGACGCCATTGCAGGCGTGCGCCCATCCGTTCTTCAACGAGCTGCGGGAGCAGGGCAAGCGGTTACCGAATGGCCGGGAGCTGCCGCCGTTGTTCGACTTTACAGAGCAAGAGCTGCGAATTCAGCCGGCTCTGAACTCGATCCTAATACCGAAGTATATGCAGTCTTCGGACAATCCTGGAGGCCAATTGGAATCCACGAGTGCTGCCGCGGGGGCTAGCGGTAACTCTAGTGATAATAACGTCAACACCAACACACCATCCACCACACAAAATACAGACCCCAGCCAATCGAATATGGCTTAAGCTACTTTATTTTTTAACAAACATGAAAAACGTTGCAAAAAGCAAAGGAACCGATAACACGGAACCGAGAGGGGAGAAAAGAATTCACGTGTTTAGAGCTAGCCT